TAAAAGTACTTGCATTCAAAATGTTCCTCAAGAAGAAGTAGAAAAGTATTATCAAAATATAATACGGTAAAAGTATTCATTGTGCAGATTGGTCCATTTCAGAATAATATATATATGATATGTTTTATAATGATTGATCATGAAAGTGTTCTCAAAGCTGGTAAAGGTGCAGCTAGTTTGAATGACTTTGTATACTGCAGGGTAGCTTGTGGATTTACTCCAGGTGGAACTAAAATCTGATTCAACACTTGATTAGATTTCACATTATTCATCCACATCTGTGAAGTAACTAAAGGTATTAAATACATGTAGTGGAGGAAAAGTACACCATGTACCTCTGACTTAGAATAGTAATCAATGATGTTTTGAAAAGTTATTTGGCTGATTGTTTTTATATCGGCTCAGCCAGGTTGTATGGGAGGCCCAGTCTACGAGCCCAGTCTACGTACACTCTAAAAACAAATGCTTGGCTTAACAAAGAGTATCAAGGCAATAGGTTGCATCGATGGTTATTGAGTTAAGACAACTTCTAATGACATTTTGTTAAAGCAACAAAGTTATTTGAGTTAGGGGAAAAGGCGTTTCCTCTACATAGAGGTGTTTTCAATTACCACTTACTTAATAATTGGTAGCATAAACATAAGTTTTTAAGTTGATTACTCCAAAAGTTCCAACTTGTTTTACCGTATGATTTAAATGTAATCTTAAGTTGTATATACTTAATTACCACATGTTGAACATGGACAGATGTTTTTAGGTTGACAGCCATTTGTAAATTAAGTTGCTCCAAATAATATTGTATTCAATAGGGTTTTTCTCTTAGCTTATTCATATTTTTGCCTTTAAAGAAATAAATTAATTGATTCCACAACAAAAATATTAGGCAATTCACTTTTTATGTTTGAACTGCAGTTGTTTATTTCAACACATGATGTTTCAATCAGGAGTTTGAATTTCAAGTTCTATTTGAATGACAAAAGATGACACTCACCTTAAAATGTCCTTTGTATATTTCTATTTGTCTTAACTGTGGGAACTTGTCCAGGCATCTTGAGTGGGAGTGGACTTGAAATCCTTAACTCAAGGTGTAGAACAATTAAGTTATCAAGCCAATTGCATTACTTACTTGAACTTGAATTTAGGTTGAAGTCAATTAACGCAGAAATCAGAGTTCAAATGAGACAATATTAAGTTGATGTAATTACCAACATTATTGCGTACCAACTTATAAATTAATTTTTGCAAATTATGGGGGGATTTTGGGGACTTTATCTAAATCAATTAACTCACTTTTTTATCTTGCAACCAGTGCATTTAATTAAGTGGAGGTGAAAGGTCGCTTGAATTGGGTTTTTAGATGTACAGATCACTCATTTTGAAATATTAATCTTAGTTTTCTTTTCTTCAATTTTTCATCCTCGTGTAAAATGCTATCACGAAACACACATTTGGTTGTTTATAGCAGAAAGAACATCTGAGTTAATGTGAGGTAGGGAAATAATCATTTGAGTATGTGCATATAAATATGTAATTTACAACAGCTGTAAGATGCTTGAAAAGTGCACCTTGAAAATGCTTGAAAAGTGCTTGAATTTGATTTTGGAAAAGGTGTAAGAACCCTCTTATTGACCTTTGCCTGAAGGTGACGAACACGACTGTGTGCACACCTAGACCGGACTTAAAAGACGTTCCTCTGACCAACGCTGACCTCATTTTGTATGTTGATGGGTCTGCCTCTCGCGACCAAGGGGGCACTAATCGGGTGGGGTTTTTTTTTCTGTTGTTTCAGATTCTGCTGTACTCCGTTCCGGACCAAACCCATGTCTCAGCACACTCAGCAGAGCTCATCGCACTAACTGAAGCCTGCACGTTTGCAGAAGGCAAAACCCTGACTATTTACACTGACTCACGCTATGTTTTTGGGGTAGTGCACGATTGTGTGGCTATTTGGAAGTGTAGACAATTTCTGCAAGCAGTACAGACCCAGTTTCCCTAAGAAATTGGGTCCGCTAATGTAGCTGCTGACTCAGCCGCAAAGGCAGCTGCTCTGATTCCTCTCGCACCTCACGCACAATAATTTGTTAAAATCCCTGTCTCCTTCTTCACTGACAAAATGTCGTCACTGACTTCCATGCAGCAGCTAGCTACACCAGTTGAGAAAGCTCAGTGGAAGGCTGTTGGGGCTGCTTTTGACCCAACCTCCAGCATCTGGGTTGGTCCAAACTCCAATCCATGTCTCCCAAGACATTTCTTCCCTCATTTTGCTAAGTTGACACATGGGTTAGACCATGTGTCAAAAGGGAGGATGTTAGAAGCCATTACGCAGATAGGAGAATACATGGGCATAGACATCAGAAAGCATTGTGCTTATCATCCACAGAGTGGGGTGGGGTGGAAAGAGAGAACGGCACAATCAAAAACAAACTAGCAAAATGCTGTGCAGACACAGGTCTGTCATGGACACAAGCTCTGCCTATTGTGCTGATGTACATGCGGATGTGGGAACGAACACGGAGCCAACTCAGCCATTTGAAATCCTTTTTGGGGCTCCTCCACAGATTGGACTCAAGGCTCCAGGATGTCCTCTTCCCTCCACAACTTTGTGTGAGGATGCTATGTTGCTATGTTGTATGTTAACCTGTCATCCACTTTAGCGACTGCCACTGGTCCACTTAACCATCTCCAACCCGGCGACTTCGTGCTGGTCAAGGATTTCCGGAGAAAGAGCTGGAAATCCAATCGTGGGCAAGGGTCAACCAGACAGCGGTCAAGGTCGCCGAGAGAGAGCTACGTGGGTCCACGCCAGCCACTGCAAGGTCGTAGTAACAGGAAAGGAGAAACGGTAGAAGCAGAAGACAACAAGTGACGTGTCCTAGTCACCAACGGAAGAAGACAACAAGTGATGTGTCCTAGTCACCAACGGAAGAAGACAACAAGTGACGTGTCCTAGTCACCAACGGAAGCAGACGACAACAAGTGACGTGTCCTAGTCACCACCAGCACCACACTTGCACTACATACACCAAAACACACTACACACAAGGTGTCACGAGCGAGTGCCAGCTGAGCGGTTCCATATGCTCTCTGGTTCCTCGTTTGTGTTACCGGTGTGCGGAGTCTGACTGTCCGTGTCACAAAATCAACCGAGGGAATACACACACACACCCCATGGAGCATTCCCACCTCGTGATGACGGCTCGCCTGGGAAAACGACAACGCAACCGTGAGCAATACTACCGGAGAGCCTGGACAATCATAAAATGGTTCCTCTGCATACTTGCCATGATAGTTGTGTTAGGACTAGTCCTATATTTTATGTATCCATGGTCAGAACACAGCATGTCAGCCAAAATCGAGGTATCTAAGAGGTACATGGGGAGAGCAGGGCGAACCACATGGGCAGAGGGGCTGGTCAAGACAGGGATTGGTAACATTACTCTAAGGGATGGGGAAGATAGCACAGTGCAGTTACGGTGTTTACAATATCTCGTATTGCATATTCAGTGTCCCTGGAAGAATCCTTTCTAACGTAGCATTCCCTGATGTTAACCATATTTCCCTCCAACTGGCCTGGCCCAGTGATGCTGGGTTTAGCTCGCCACAAGATTACGTTTGGTTGTGCGGCGACAAGCTCTATCAAATGCTGGCTCCCCTCTGGATAGGTACATGCACTCTAGTGGATTTGAATCCAGCAGTCACTGTCCTCACGTCCTTAATGTACACGACACATCATTACCCAGAGTTCCAACACCCCGACCACCACAAGGTAAAAAGAGATCTGACGTCCGCTGGAGCTAAATTATTTGGCGGCCTGTTCCCATGGTGGGGTACAGTAAACAATGCCCATAACATAGATACCTTACATGTTCGGCTAGAGAACCTCACTTACGAGACGACGCAAGGCTTCCAGGCATTGCCCCCATTCATAATAGCCTCTAGGAATATGCTCATGCAGCACCAATTTGCTCTTGACCTTTTGTTCGCCTCAAAGGGTGGCCTGTGTCATGTGATCGGTGACTCCTGTTGCACTTACATTCCCGACGCCACCAAGAACATCACTGACACCGTGCTGCATCTTAACAACTTGTTAGCCGACATGAAAGCGGATGACATATCCAACGCAGGCGGCTGGGACTGGTGGTCCTGGCTTACATCGGGGGGGTGGCAAGGATGGATGGCTAGAATAGTTACACCCCTGGCGATCATTTTCGGCCTATTAATCAGTTGTACCTGTTTGATTATCCCAATACTGAAGAAAGGCTTTTCCAGCCTGGTATCCTTAGCTTTCGTTCAGTATACTGCTATTCCATTACAAGACAATCCTTTGCGCCACAGTGAGATAGACCAGCTAGAATCAGAAGAGTCTGATTCCGACACTACAATATAATCAATATAATCATGTGAATCAAGTGTACTCTTCTCTTATGCTTACATTATATTGGAGACTGTCCTCCACAAAAACAGCCAGTTTTCTATGATATATTTGTGATGTGTTTACTTAAACCAGTGATGGTGTGTATTCATTGATGTGTTATATCAGTCTATCCTGTCATTTGGTTTTTTTATTGATCAAGTATGATCAAAAGGGGGGAATGTAGTGGACATTTTATTATATCCTGATATGTTTAAACCAAATGCTTCTCATTTGGTTAGATGTGCTGTTTGCCTCTATCTACTCTGTCACACGAGAACTTGCCTTTCCTGAGATCTACAGCTCAAGGACATGTGTCTATTAACAATGTGACCGTGTGAAGAGAGATTTCTTACCTTCTCACCCTTTCTACTATATAAGCCTTGCTACCATATTGAACTGCGCACACTCGCGCAGATTATTCTATACTCTGTGGGACCTGTGTCTATATTTATTGTATTGTATTTATATATATTTGAAGCTTCAAATAAATACCAGAAAGACAACTCTGTCTGATTCACCATTTATTTGATTTGATCACTCTGACTTGTACTCTACAGTATTGGGGTTTTTAGATTTCCATAACAAGGGAGAGGCAGACGGAAGAAGCTGGCTGTTAAATACACTCAGAAGAGGAAACCAGAGGAAACTGAGGTCCAAAAACACAGCACTGAGTCTGCAACCAGAGAGAGAAAGGGGAGGAAATGCAAGAAAGTCGGGCCAACTAAAACTCCAGAGCGGCCCCCAGAGGGTTCCAGGTCTCCTCAGCAGTCCGAAGAGTCTCGGCAGCATTCACCTTCTCCTCGTCGTAACAGACATCCCGAATCCTCGGAGGATGAAGGTAAATATTTCTAACTTATTTTTGGTATGGATGGGGGCAGGCTTCGAGTTATAAACTGTGCTCTATGGGGAGTCTGCTGCTGCGTGTGAGTGTGACGCAGCAGCATCAGCCCTCTCTCTACTTGCTAAAAACTTAAATATGAAAAGGTTCAACTACACACACACACACATCATCGGCATAGATTGCGTAATAATGTATTGCGCACCTTGGAGGTGCAGTGCAGGCATATTGTCATTCAAGAGATGCGTAGTTATTTTGGAAAGCATGTTTTTCTTTTAGCCTATTTACCTCGTTAACGTAAAAAATACTCATTACATTGACACATGCATTATTTGTGATTATAATAATGGTTGTTGGTAATGTATTAGCGACCCCCACAGATGTATAGTTTCACTGCGTCCATGGGAGCTCAGACCCCTCCTTATGTGAGCTCAGCTCCCATTGGCTCCTACATAACTCGAACCCTGGATGGGGGGCAAGAGGGGTAATTGATTTTGTTATATATTCTCATACATTGTTGTCCTGCATGTACTTAATTTGTTTTTCATTTGGTATCTTTTCAGATGAGTCAGCCTCCCCCGCCCTCCCTGCAGGCAAGTCCAAGCCTGAAGTGGGCAAGGGCGACAAAGGGAAAGGCAAGGCCCAGAAGGAGAACCCACCCCCTGGTGTATCATACAGCTTCACAGAGGCGCAGGAGGAGGCAATCGCTTGCTGGGTGAAGAGTAAGAAGCTACTGTATGACATGAAGGACAAACAGTACAAAGAGAAGGCATTAAAGAGGCACCTATGGGAGGGAAAGGCTGCGGAATACAGGTTGGATTGTAAGTAGAATTTTTTTTACATTTCAATTAATTTCAAATATTTGAAATCTATTTCAGATACTTGACATACATTGCTGCCAATGAACATTTCAATGATTGGACTAATTATTTGTTTTGATTTCTGTCATTGCAGATCATTCAATTCTGAAATGGTATCAAACACAGAGGACTCGATTCTCAAAGCTACGGGAGGGCCAACCCAAGAAGAAATCCCAGAAGAGGTCTGGTCTGTCGAGCAGTGACGAGGAAGACCCCATCCTTGCTGAGGAGGCCAGTGAGAATGACAGTGACCGTGACAAGTTCATCCGCCGGGTCTTTGGGTTTCTGAAGCCACACATCAGACGTCACAACAAGGAAATACCAGCTAGTGTGAGTATATCATTGAAATTAAATTCAAACGGTACTTTGTCGAAAATGTTCAATTTCCCACATTTTTGTTTCCAAATATAACTTTCAAATGTACTTATGTTTGTTTTCTATTTTTGTCTTTGCAGTTTAAGGACAAGTTGGCCCAGGCTGAGACGGGTGAGCTGGCTGGGAGTGACGACAGTTTTGCAGACAAATCCAGGGAGCCCAACAAGAAGTACACTGGCTACCCTACACCGAGACCTCCTTCCAGGACAGGAACAGCTGCTGAGGACCAACCCGAGTCTCCGGAGATGAGAGTTACCGGAGCATCATCCCGTGATCTCCAAGATAGGCTGGTTCAGTTCATCACTAGAGAGCAGCCAGTCAACAGGGCCACTCCTTTCTGCAAGTACCTGGAAACTGAACTGGATCGTCTGCATGATGTCTGCCTGGAACCTGCGTATGAGGACATCACCACAGTTCTTAACCAGTAAGTATATAAAATTGCATAAATTTAAAATTAATTTATTTGATGTCACACATTTTATTGCATGCTACATTTGAGCTTGTATTAATCCTATGCTGTTTGTCTTTCCAGTTACCGGAAGATGTCCAGACAGTTCAGGATGAGGGAAGCGGCTGGTGACCAGATCAGTCCATTCGTAGATGTCCCGTCGGCATTACAGTCGCAGCAGCAGAGGCCAGTTGCTGTGAACCCAGTCTACACATCTGCCCTCCCCAGCAGTACCTATACTTCTCCGCCAGCAGAGCGGCCTCCTCACCGTCAGCAGAGTTCCAGCCAGGTCCCAGCCAGTGGCCTAAGAACCCACCTCCGGCATCAGTGTGGAGATCCCAGGAGTGTGGCTACGTAGAGCAGGTGAACCAGCAGCACAACTTGGAGCAACAGCAGCAGCAGTACCGTACCCTCTAGCCAGCCAGCACTACTAGTCAGGGCTACGTTCCTTCTCCTCGCCAGGCTGCATTCTTCCATCTTCCTTCTCAGCCTCCTCAGCAGCAAATCAGTGGTCCTTGGCAGCTAACACCCCAGCAGCCAGTCCAGGGTCCTCCGCCACCTCCTCTTCCAGCTCAGCAGTCCCAGCACAATGTGACCCAGCACAGCCTCAATATCTCGGCTGTACTGCCACATGACGAACATTTTAAAAAAAAACACACAAACTTGATGGTAATACAAATTGTCAGTGATATTTTCAGACTTTGTCCTTTTTTTGGTCCTTCATCCTTACTTTACAAGTTATTTTCATTTCTATGTTAAAGTACTATGGGACTTGAGATTTTTAAACCATCTAAATGTTGGGACTTTATTTGATTAATAAGTGGGAAAAAAGGAAAGAAGAAGTATTTTCAATCAAAATAAAAAAAAAAAAATGGTATTACTCAATACACATTTTGCTTTAAGTTACAATGCAATATGTGAAAAATAATTTGTTCATCACAATGTTAGTGTCTCTGTATTCATTTCATTGTCACTGCTTTGTGGGAATAATTACAGGATCATCTTGTCCTGCCATGGCACCGAACCAGCCTTTGAGGTAAAGTAGTGGCCCAGGTATCTTCTAATTTGCCTCCCCTCCTGGGTTCCAGTGTTCCTTGCCCTCTCATGGTAAACATCCAGAAGTACTTTGTCATTTCTCCATGCCCCTGGGATGACATTCAGGTTCTGCTCCTCCAAGTCCATCATGTTGTTGTGGGTGGCTGGATATCTCAGTCTGATTAGATTGTGAAGGATCACACACGTTGTGATGATTTTTCTGCATGTCCCTGGCCTCTGGTTCATGGTCCTCAGCAAAACTATAGGTTACTTACGTAACCCCAGTTCTCAGAGTAACATGAAGTGAGATGTCTCACTATGGGATGCGCCTCATCGCGGAGCAAACAGAAGCATCAATCTCATTACGCCAATCCTGATTGGCTGGAGATCTTGACGTCAGCGTCAGGGAAATCACCCCCTATAAGTAGCTTGCGCCACAACGCATGCGCCATTCAAAATAAGCACCTCTTCTCGCTTCACCATAGCAAGGAGGGCTGTCTGGTGAGACATCTCACTTCATGTTACTCTGAGAACTGGGGTTACGTAAGTAACCTATAGTTCTCATTCATAACACTCCGTTCGATGTCTCACTATGGGAAATTGTAGCTCCCGTATTGCCAGACGAGCTTATCTCGAAAATCACCAAACCAACCAGAACTTAACAGGTAGAGCTCTGACTCAACCAGGTGCCCAGCACTGCTTGAGTCACACTGGGAGCAGAACGTCCAACCTGTTAGGAGGCAGACAAAAGTGAGCGGCGAGGACCAGCTCGCCGCTGCACCAATGTCTTTGATGGGAGACATCCTGGACAGAGTCCAGAATGCAGCCAGACTCTGAGTCGAAAGAGCTCGCGGACCCAAGGGTGCCTGCGAACTCTGACTCGTATGAGCCCCAAAGCAATTGCTTCCACAGACCAGTGGGAGAGCCGTTGCTTAGTAACAGGCTTGCCCTTATAAGGGTTAGCCCAGGACACAAGGGGTTGGTCATTATGACAAAGCACCCTTGATATGTCCCTGTACGTGCGTGAAGCACGGGCTGGACACGGCAAATCCGGCCGCTGTTCCCCGGAGGAATACAGTGGCGGGGAGGATGCCTCAATGTCAAATGTGGTACCTGAACCAACCGCCTTAAGATAAAGGTAGGGTTGGGCTTCAACCACACTCTGTTTGCCCTGGGGCAAACTGAGTGCATGAAGACTGTACAGATAGTGCATGAGTGCCACTGGCTCGCTTGGCAGCTGCCAGGGTCACCTTCATGTCACACTGTATTCAGATTGTACCACTCACGGGCCAGGCCCATAGAGCCAAGCGCTCTGGGTGTGGGTGAAAGATCGCCCCCCCCGCTTGGGACAGTATGTCCCTGCGTAGTGGGAGCTGCCATGGCTGCCCGCACAGCAGCTGATATATCTCCGCTAGCCAGTACATAGCTGGCCAGTGCGGAGCTATCAGGATAAGTGTGTGGCGTTGCTCTCTCACTCTGGCCAGAGTTGGGGGTATCAGAGCCAGGGGTGGGAACGCGTACAGAAGGCCTGGGGGCCAATTGTGCGCGAGTGCATCCACGCCTAACGGTGCATTTAGATCGCGCATCGAAAAGAACAGCTGACACTGAGCGTTGTCTTTTGATGCGAACAGATCCACCGCGGCTCTGCCGTAACGCACCCACAGCTGGCTCACAATCCTTGGATGTAGAGTCCAGTCTGCATAAAGTGGTATACCTCTGGACAGTAGATCTGCCCCGAGGTTCCTCACTCCCGGTACGTGCGTCGCTCTCAGAGAGAGGAGACGCCTACCGCTCCATAGGATAAGTTTGCGCGCCAGTGTGTGTAACTGGAGAGAACGCAAACCCCCTTGGCAGTTAATATACGATATTGTGGTCGTATTGTCTGTCCTCACGAGGACGTGATGTCCCCTGAGGAAAGGCAGAAAGCGTTTTAGGGTGAGAAACACCGCTAAAAGCTCCAGGTAATTTATGTGCGCCCGCTGGAGGTCTCTGCTCCAGAGACCCCTCACAGGGCGACCTTCATAAATACCTCCCCAACCTGTCAGACATGCGTCCGTGGTGACCACTTTCCGTGAAAGGACAGCACCCATAGGCACACCTCGTACTAGAAAAGTCGGGTGCAGCCAGTGGCGCAGTGCCATTACGCATTTCACAGTAACCATCACTCTAGTTTTAGGGCGGCCACCCAGCGCTGAAACTCCCTCATGTGTAAGCGTCCCAGTCGTATGACCAGGATGGCTGACGCCATGAGCCCCAGCAATCGCAGGCATGATCTGAAGAGAACATGTTTGCGCAGCCGGAATAGAGCGAGACAAGCTCTGAAAGCTTTCACTCTATCCGCTGACAAGCGAGCTGAAAAGGGCACCGAGTTTAGGTGTAAACCCAGGAAGAGTATAGTCTGCGCGGGGCACAACATGCTCTTCTCTGTGTTTATTATGAAACCCAGGTTGAGCAGGTGCTTTACGAGGACATTTGTCTGCGTAACAGCCTCCTGCTCCGACTGTGCGAGAAGCAGCCAGTCGTCCAGGTAGGTCGCCAGGCGAATACCCTGTTGTCTTAACGGGGCTATCGCGGCTTCCGTACATCGTACAAACACCCTTGGACTGAGAGACAGACCGAAGGGGAGTACTCTGTATTCATAACAGATCCCCTGAAATGCGAATCTCAGATATTTCCTGTGTGGGTAATATACTGGGATGTGAAAATACGCATCTTTCAGGTCGACTGATGTGAACCAGTCGTCTTGTCGCACGAGCCGCAGCAGAGATGTGTGAGTGAGCATTCTGAACTTATATCTTCTTAGATATTTGTTCAGAGCCCTCAAATCAAGTATTGGCCGAATTCCGTTCCCTCCCCGTTTGGGAACGAGGAAGTACTTGGAATAGAAGCCGCCCTGACTCTGCTCGGCGGGTACAATAGATATAGCCCTCTTTTCTAGGAGAGAGAGAATCTCTTTCTCCAGAATATGGGCTGACTCTCCTCGGGCCTGCGAATGCAGAATGCCCGAGAAGCGAGGGGGGGGTGACAGCGAATTGGAGTCTGTAGCCCCGTGTTACTGTCTTGAAAACCCAAGCAGATGATGTGAGCATCTTCAACTGCATGCTCCTTAGAGCCAGTGGAGATGTCACATCTCTTCCCCTCTGAGTCTCTATTTGTTGTGTTATGGGGCCCTCTAGTGTCTGAACACAGTGGTGCTCCCTTTCGACAATCCTCACCGACACTGCGCATGCGCATGACGGTGGTGCCTTCACAACCCCAGCCGGCACTGCGCATGCGCGTGGCGGTGGTGCTTTTAAAACCCCAGCCGGCACTGCGCATGCGCGTGACGGTGGTGCCTTCACAGACCCGCCTGTAATCCGCCTTTTGAGAGATGCCGAAGCTGCTCTCAGAAGGGGAACAGTTGACGGGCTGTTTATTGGTTTTATTGTTTTTCTTATCATTTTTTTGAGCTGCGCCCTCGGCCTGAAGCCTGGATGCGTCAGCGGCAAATGTTCAATGACAGAGGAACAAACAGATTTGTGACATGTGTTTTTGCGAACTTGAGGATGGTGTTGAGGCATCTCTCGAGGCGGCGGGAACACATTTAGAGCTGGGGAACCGTGGACTTCCAGCTCTGTCACGGAGGGGAGAAGGAGGGGCTGTCACGCCGCTCGCTTCTTCTTCCTCGCCTGCTGGCCGAAATTCTGGGTTGGCTGCGCCTGAGCTGCAGCCAGAACCGGAGATTTTCTGGGCCAGCTCGCCCTCGTCTCCAGCCTGGACTGGGGACTCGGGGCGGGCTGCGACCTCTGCGTTCTCGGTGTTTTAAACCGAGCAGGGTTCAAGGCAGCTTGGGCGAAGGACTGCTGCTGCGAAGGACTGCTGCTGCGAAGGCAGCGGCTGGACCCTTCGAGGGAAGCAGAGGTGGAGTGCCTCGTCCTCCCTCTTTTTCGACTCACACCTCTTTTGCATGGAAGCAATAGCGGAGCCGAAAATTCCCTCGGGAACGATGGGCATATCCAGCACATCCTCCTTTTCCCAGTCTGAGAGGTTGGTGAGGTTGAGCCATCTCGCTCTTTCCTGCACCACCATGATCCCCATTGCCTTACCTGTGGCCTGGACGGCGCAGCGTTGGACACGGAGACAGATGTCTGTGACCGCTGCCATCTCGTCCAGAGTGGCTGCCCCCGGGTTACCCGACAGGTCCTCGCAGAGCTCCGCTTGGTAAGCGGTTAGCAGCGAGGCCACATTCAGGGCCCTGGCGGACAACGCTGCGGCTTTGTAGGACCGTTCAGTCATTGTCGACTGAAATCGGTCCGACTTTGCCGGCAGCGTGGGGTTCCTGCTTGGTGACGGGCCCATCCTCGGTAGGAGGTGGGCTGCTACCAGCGGTTCCATGGGCGGTA